CTCAGAATAATCATGTCGATTCTATTCCATCTGTGACTCGCCAGCGCTCTTCTCATATTCAAACTACTGCGTATCTCCTTGGTGCACGTAAAGGACTGCCCAATGTTGACGAGGAAGAGATAAATCGCACTCGTGCCGTTCAGTCGTGGTACGAGTCAGAGGCGCCGGAAGGGCAACTGACAAACCAGGAATCTCTTGAGAAAGGTAATTGTTCATTCGTTTTCAACGGTGATTTCAAATACTCACATCAACTTACTACTAGTCGAATTTCGGATCCCTTTGAACACTGCCGATACAAACAAATCTACGACATACGTCGACCATTTTTACGCCGAGTCAGACCTGAGTCCCCTAGATATGTTCGATTCTATGAGGGCCGTGATGGATCTTCCAAAGACCTACAAGCATTTAGGCTGGCACTTATCTACAGCCCGCCGTATGGACCTGCCGCATAGACTCTTGACGGCCCAAGATATCAAGAGCGCTTTCAAAGCTGCGAGAGCGGAACAGCTCTCTGGATGGCACAAGAAAAATGTTGCAATTGAAGTCATAAATACTGTACGTGCCTTGCTAATCATAAGTTTCTTGCACAATATAAAAGTACTTGTTGCAGCAGATGCCTGTATTAAAAGGGACAGCAAAGCAACATGCAGGTACTACGTGTTCTGCAGGCGAGCAGAACCATCTACCCAGTACATCCCAGTTTGACGACCGTGAAGAAGTTCGTATCTCACGTAGTAAGGAAGGAACCGCGTCCCTTCAGCGTGTGCCAACCGAGCTCATATCACCCATAATCCACAATCATGTTCATCTCCCATCTGCAATCAACGACACGTGGGCTTCCGAGTCTAATGGCGTACTTTCTGAACAGCAATGTGACAACTCCACAGCTCCTCGACCCCTCAAGAGGACGTATGCACTCTACTTGGAGAGTGACGAAGACACCGATGATGAAGAACCACCGCAAGGCATTAATGAAGTCCTTGTGAAGATCCATTCTCGCTACCCTGATATGAACTTGCCACAATACATGAACACGCTGAAGAAGCATGGTATATTTTATCTGCCCACCACAACACATTTTAATAGTAGATTTTATGTAGAAAAGGTTGGTATGTCGGAGGGCGCTGCATTTACATTTCACACTTGTATTTCTAAAACTCACATGAAGGATGGATGTGCGAAGGCGAGAAGAAAGGCGAAAGGGAAATACAGGGCACGAGCTGACGATAAGGAAAATTTTCATGCTCACTAACGGTCTTAAATAATTTAAATATGCATTCTTCGTGTATCTCAGATTATTTTAGAATTTCTAGTAGTACTACTCTGGGCGTTTTATCGGAAGATTCTGGATTGAAATTCAAAGGAGGAGGACTCCAAACCTTGATAACAATTGCAGTGCCTCCATGCTAGTCCTTGCCATACTAGTTCATCTTTTGATAATCATGGTTGACTGTGCCCTCAGGGTTACAGTGAGAGCTGATTTTCATCCTAGTTCACATTCATTGTACCTGTCATATGGTGGAGCAACAATCCCCAACTTCAACCACCACAGCACCGTGCCAGTGGCAAGCACTTTTCACCAATATGATTTTATGGATGGGAGAGTTGGCAAAGACATCAGTATAATCATGTGTATCTTCCAATGGAATGGCATGATTATGGTCTTTCTCAAGAGCAGCTGGTACATGGTGGAGATGACAAGGTTAACCTCATTGCAGGCAAGCACCTTTCTCCTACGTCCTCGAGTTGAGCATTTATCTCAGTATTGTAGCACGCTAAAAAGTACACCTGAAGCAAGGGGTAATGTTATTACAAGTCTCAAAGGCGGTGTGCTTGATTGATTATCCCCAGGTAGAGCAGCTGGTGCATGGTGGAGATGATGAAGCTAACTTCATTGTAGAGCTGGCAAGTATCTCCCTTCTATGTCCTCAAGTTAAGCGTTTATCTCAGTATTGTAGCACACTAAAAGTTACACCTGAAGCAAGGGCTAATGGTATCAAAAGTCTCAAAGGCGGTGCGCTTGATTGGATTACCCCCAAGTAGCAGAGTCTCGTCCCTGCTCTTGCCCGCAACTTGAAGGTATGTGGCGTGTGATCTATGTTCTACAGATATTCTGCTGTGCGTAAGAACATGCTGTCCAAGTAGAGGAGCCCTCCAATGAAGAACCTCATAAAGGTGATGTCTTGCTTCATTCTTTCTGACTGGTGTACACTCATAGCATACCACGAAGACTCGGCCAAGGACATCCTCTTCCGCGATTGCATCTCAGACGCCGTGGACCTTATAGTTGGCACTTGCCGACAAAAGCGTACGTATGCCATGGCGAGCTGTCATAGTGAAAACATTTACATATGGGAACAGTAAGTTCTTCTCTCGGGATTAGGTCGTGGGCTGATCATAAGCAGGGATTCTCGAAATCTGTCCCTGCACCCCTAAGTCTGCATAACCCACACGAAACAACACTGACGATTCAATGAAGGCCTCCCCACCACGCTGGTGCCTACACCCACTCCCGCTCCCGTGCTCCCTCCCAGTACAGCTGCAGTCACCGGACTCAACAGCCTCCTGGCTGACATGCCATTCACATTGATCGCTGACATTCTAGAACATTGTGTAGCGAGCCAAGATTGATCTTATTATGTGAGTCACGTATCCAAATTTTCGGTGGTCCATCGATGATCTGATGCACGGGATCTGGGTGCAGAACCCACATTCCCTTGGCACCAGCAATACGTCCTTGCATGGCAACATGTCTTGTGCTACCTCGGCAAAGATGGCGTCATGCACCTCGCTTGTGTCGCTAAGGGGGTCACCATCGAATCTGCGACACCATTATCCCATTGTGAATTTTGCATTATCGCCAAGCACCCGCACAATTTTCACCTGTCCGGATCAGAATGTGCATTTCGCTTTCTCGACCTTGTTCATTCCGACGTCTGTGGTCCAATCCCCACCGTCACTCCTCACAGCAAGCGTTATTTAATCCTCTTCCTGAACGATCACACGCACGCCTTGACACCGAAACCCAGGACTTTGGTTAAGCTCACTTTCAATAGATGATATCTCTGAAAATGGAACCTGAAGACGAAGGGGAAACATAGCCCACCACCACATGCCCAAGCAGCAATGTTGGAATAAACATGAAAGTGTCCATCATCCACTCATTCACCATGACAATCTACTAATTACTTCGTATTCCCAACAGTCTCCTGATCTCATTCAACTCCCGCCAGGAAGTCTCGACATATCTCATAGCGTCCTCCAACTCCTGCTCCCTCCGTAACGCCATTGAAGTCAGCCAGCACTTGTCTTCGTCCGTAATTGTAATTGGCTCGCGCTGCAATGCAGAACAGTTATTGTGAATTCGGTCTTGAGCCGTTTGTGTCGTATTGTTCCATATCGCCTAAAATCTGTTAGTACTGGAATGGTATCTATAGTAGTAGGTGCCACATATGATCGCCAAGTCACTGATGATTAACGGTCCTGGGACGTTTAACGGTTGTGGGGTGATCAATGGTTGTGGGGCGATCAGCGGTTCTGGGACGATTGGCAACGGTTCTGGGACGATGTGATCCAGTGGTAGTTGCTGGTGGGTGAGTCCGGTACGGTCAGGCAACTTCTACTAGGCAGACCTTCAAGGAAATACTTACTGCTGGCCCTTGTGCTTAAAAATTGTACTGATCGTTATGTTGTAGGTTAAAAAAAATGTTCTGATCCATGATATGTAGTAGTACTTGATCTTTACTGGTGCTAGCGCTCGTTGCGGCTGTATAGAGTCTGTATAGTAGTGGCAAATGGAGCTGAGTGAGAATGTTTGCCTTTTTTGGATAAACTTCAAGTGGCCGGCACCACTCAGACTCACTGACTTTATTTTTTTCAAAATCCAGTAACATGGACTCGCAAGCCACCATCTCCACCAGCGCACAAGTCGTAATAGGTCCGTACTTGAGTCCACCTTATTTCTTCCAGCATTCACCTGCATCTCACAGACATGACTTGTTACACCAGTGGCAAGACTGTTTTTAGCGATCACCAAATGTGTGACATTACTAGTACACCCTCGGAATGCATCGACATGCTATATACTAATTTTGGTAGACCTCAGCCACGACTTAGCAAGGAAGCGTCATCTGTTCTCATTGACCTCGGGGAGGCTGTGCAGTCGAATGCGACCCATGATGAGGTCGGTGTGCTCATTGATGGTACACTATTGCAAGAGGTCTACGTCAGGAACGCTTGTCTGCAAGCCATCCAGGTCAGTATCATTTTCTTGCAGTTTGCATTGTCTTCTTAGATAGATGATCTATAGATAAACACCTACAAAATCAAAAATCTCCATGGTCAGTGATTCAGACAAATACCAATGACTGATAATGTGGTTGTTCATGGGTGGCTGTTTTCACTTTACTAAGCTATGTTCAGACAAAAGTACTTCCTGTGAGGTCAGTAGCAATACCAGTCAATCCAACAGTATGGACGCAATAGAAAATAAAATAAACAGAATGTAGTCAGCCCAATGGTATGGTGATGACAAAAAGAAATTGATTCACTCCAACGGTATGGCAGTGATTAGAGAACAGAGAAAAGTCAGCCCAACAGTATGGTACTGATAAAAAAAAATAGACTGGTAAGAGAAACCCTTCCTTCAGTAACAATGCTTCTTGTAATAAATTTACTACAGAAAGTTGTGCGAAATTATAACAATCACCCCCTCAGCACAAACAGGTAGAATCAAAGGTCAGGACTAATCAGTGATCAGTAGAACTCTTAGTTCACTATTGAACCTGCTGCCAAGGAACTCACAATGAGTATTAAACAGAATCAGGAACGGACGTCCTTGGATTTCAGTACCAAGTCCCCTATTCAACAACTAAAGTCTAGCAGACAAAGAAAACCCTGGCTCAGTATCACTACTCAGATGAGTGAGGTCAAGTGTCACTATCAACTTCTGAAGTCTTCCCACTAAGCCAGTGCTTAGATGGACATAAAGACAACACAAAGATCTTGAAACAAATTCAGACAATAACACTAAGACGTGAACGAATTGAACAGAAAAAGAGACAAATGAAAAAAAGACAGAAAGAAACAGAAAAAGAAACAGAAAAAGAAGAAAGAAAAGAAAAGAAAGAGACTAGAGGTTCACCAGTAGAAAATTAAAGAAAAAGTTTTGCTCACTGTTGAGCACAGTGAGCTCAAGATATTTGACAGTTGTTGACGATGAGCTAAAGGTATTGCTGGATGTTGCTTACAATGACCTCTCAGTTGGTTGCTTAACAGCTCTTGTCACTGTTGTTGATACTGATCACACTTCACACTCAAATTTATTTTGTGGGGCTTAAAAGTTCCCTATATGCCTATTTTTATTGGCAAAAAGTGGGGTCTTATATAGATAAATTATGGTGGCTGTGTTACTATTTCCCACATTCTAAGGGGAATAGGCTTAGTCAGATTGTACCAATACTATTTACTGTAGTCATGTGCTTTATAATTTGTGTCATCAAGCTTTAGTCATCTCAAAAGGTTGCTTTGTCATGATTTGGTTTAGGATCATAGGTCACCTGACTGTTAGAGTCATATAACTTAGTATCATGTGACAAATATTAAGTAACAGACTGATTATGTTATTTGTTGGTGTCTTGTTATGATGTTACTTTATTGACCGTAGAAATGATGCGAGCCATGTATTTAGAGTGTTAAGAAAGTTCCCACAAGGCAACTTATGCAAGAACTATTTTACACTGTTACTTGACATGTGTGGGATTCAGTCTGAGTCATTGTTATTGCTGACTAAGCAGAATTTACCGCAAAATTAAATATACAAGAATATTCAGCCTATCTGAGTCTGTCTGAGAAATGAAAATACTATCTGAACTGCAGTCTGAACCATAAAGTAAAGGAAGATTGTTCATAATGATTTCTAGGGTATCGGGCTCGTGGGAGAGCATTAGTCATCCATGCACCGAACTGGTTTGGTGCAGGTCAACGTGTGTTGCACAAACTTCTCCCCGAATTTGCGCTTGAACCTTCTGCCGCTGCTTATCCTGGTCCTTTGTTTTCTGACCCTGGTACACCTGTCAGTATCATGCGCACTGGGGCGTCATCTCAAGTGAAAATGAAGAAAGCATGCATCGTCAAGTATCTGGAGGATCGGATTGAAGAACTTACACGTGCGACGACGTATATGTCAGATGGAACCGAGAAGCAGCATACTGAAGGGAAATTGATTCTAGTCAAGTTGCTTAAGATCATGGTTGAGAATGATGGTGCACTGTTGGGAAGGTCTGTCGCCACACCACGAATAGGTATCCTTAACTCATTTCATTCTAGTGCTCACATTGACTCAGCTGTGAGAACGACACTGCTTCCTCGCATTGCTGCGTCTGAGGGTGCTGACATCTCGACACCGGGTTTTGCTTCTTGTATACCCAATGCCCTTGATACAATTCCTGGCCTCAACGGTGGTCACCCTAGCACGAGTGAGACACCCATATCAGACTTCAGGCTTACTCTCCATATTAGCCTGCTACGACGGTCAATTTGGACAAGTTGGATTCACGGTCACTGCGTATGCCTATTCGTCGGATGTGATGGTGTCTTGGAATACGAGGGATCCCCCAACGAGGGATATGCAGAAGGTCCTCTCATTCATTCCACTTGATCAAAAATGCTGATGATGCCAGATTGACAGCGTGTGGAATAATAAAACGGCTGGGGGTAATCGCACGCATCCAACGTATATGGTGAATCCGCAATATCACCTGCGGGTGCACAATACTAGTACAAGTATCGACAAACGGTCCAGCACAAGTACAAGTGCTGACAGACGCAACAAGACACAAGTCATACTCACCACGCGGAGCACTAGGGATATCTCGCTGAACGTCACAACAGTGGGGTCGCAGGGCGAGCGTATATCAGAACTAAGTCAGAAAGAAGTGGTGGCTCATTCTGGGCCTCATACATATGGGCATGCGCGTATTGCCGCTTATCTTGCTCGTACGGTCGACCTTTTACCTCGAGGGAAACACGGCTTATTTTCTTCATCTTGCAAATTCATCTTGCAAAGCTGGCGACTACACGGTCATATTATTAGCTTACGGACTGGACCAGATGGGAAATTCACGGAATCAAAACGTTTTGACTTAGACATCTACTTGTAAAGATGCGATCCAGCAAAGCTTACGCGAGGGAGAGCTTGTCACAGTGGCTCGTGGAGCAAGATACTGAAATTTATCTACTTCATAATAACCAGGGGTGCCAGCCGTTAACTTACTTGGACACCATTCAAATTGATGTTTGAGTTGTCACAGTACTACCGTGACAGTAAACCAGCAGCATATCCCGAAAGCAGCCATGATGACTCGGATCATCACGGTGAACTCGGACAGTTTTGTCGATATCTGATGTATTGGTATATAGGCCAGGCAATACAGGAAAGTACCAATGGTTCTATCGAAGAAATGGACTCTCCAACGGTGCAAATATGATGTAGTAGTGTACTATGCCTCTTGGACGCTAATAGTAGAGATCTAGACTTTGCCCGGCCATTTGTTGAGGAGACCCTAAAAAGCCTTGGAAAGCCCGCCAAAATAAGACAGAACGAGAACAGTTTACAACGTCAAGGGGAGTATGCTGCGATCCCTTGTGTACTGTGATGGCGCCGTGTCACGACTTTATGGTGTACTGTATAATGCCATCCTACATTTTTTGTGCAGGGCCAAGCTACTTCTCACGAGAAGGCCGTGGATAATCTGAGATAGCATCTTAATTTTAATGAAGAACGAGAACAATCAACAACATTGAGAGGAATGCGCTGCTATCCCTTGTGTGTTATGATTGCAGCATATCGCAACTTTGTTAAGAAGTCCCACGCTATTCTACTTTCGTTGAGCAGTGTCAAAGCTACTTTTCGCGAGAATGTCTTGAATGAGGCCATAATTCAGAGCACAAATGAGGCAAAATGACAATGCGCAAAATAATTGGCAGAAGTGTGCTACTACCCCTCATCTACTGCAATAGAGGAAAGCAACAACATTTGTATGAACTGCTCATGTTGCTCTGGACTTACAGACATCAATGGTCTTGTATTTCCAACCAAAAATTCTCCCCATATAAATGACATTATTTAGGAGAAGCAAAATTGCATTCTACTGTAGTTCTCACGGCTACAATATCAAGGAATCATCCATTCGCTGATGGTGCTTGTGAAGAAAGCCACAGGCTAACCTGACGAACAACCTACCAACACCATCGTGTGCTTCACAGACATGGGCCAGAACTGGTACATCATCACGTCCTGCCGCTCTCTGCGTGTGCATACTTGACATGCGATCTTACTGAAATGCCCTGCCCTATAGGAACACGTTCAACATTGGCTTCCAATTTTGTGCCAAGGGCCTATTTTGCATTGCTCATCCGCTCGTCCCCTGGTTGGCACCATCCGATGTTACCGGTACTCAAGGTTTGTGGTCACTGAGGACTATTGCTATTTTCTGAAACAAACTTGTGGTAGGATACATCTTTTATACACTCAACGTGCCTTGCAAGCAAATGAAAACTCTATATGACCTGGAATTTTCACCTCAATATCAAGAGGAACTGATACTCAACGGCGCCACCAACAGCATCCACTCTGGTAAGACAACGTTCATTTAAGCGTGCCTATGCTAACGGGTTGTGCAGAATACCGAAAGTCGACTAAGCAGCTCGGTGATGAAATTGTGACTGAACCGTTTCCCTGGGCAGGTGGTTCGATCAAAAGGTGGTACTGGGACTTCCTAATCAATTTAACCCTCGACCTTCCACTCGTAAGTTATCAGATGTTACTCATCTGATGTACTAACATACTTCAAGGCAGTCTATGCGCTGGTTTTGCCCTATCGTCTTTTGCCTTCTTCTGTGATAGCAGTTGTTCTGCTGCAACAAGTGACCAATAGGCTTGCCCTAAGCATCGGCAAATATGGGATGAATACATTGATAAAGAGCTTGTGCCTTCAGGCAAAGTGGCTCTACGATGCTATCGGGTACAAGAGCAAAATATACAATGGACTGATGTTTTATCCAGATCCCTCACAAGGTAGCTCATCGAATGGGATGAAAATATCTTTTCGGTGAGCCTCATGCTACAAATGCGGTGACGTGCTAACTTTGATGCATATGATATAAATAGACAAGTATTGCTTCGTTACGAGAAATGCAGTCGCAAAGCTCTTGACAATGTCACCCTGGAGATTGCTCCTGGTCAGCTTGTTCTTGTTGTCAGTGTCAATGGCAGTGGTAAATATTCGTTATCGAAGCTCATTGCGCGTCTCTCCAATCCTACTGAAGGGGAAATTTTGATTGATGATAATTCATTGTCGACGTATGATTCCGATGATGTGCGTGCATCAATCGCATTCTAACCCCAGCTTCCCCTGTTGTTTCCCATGTTGGTGAAGGAGAACATCTGCCTTGAGTTGCCATCCTGTGTTTATGTGACCAATGAGCAAATTAAAGAAGCAGCCAAAATGGGTAGTTGCATGAACTGGGTTTCAAAGTTGCAGAATGGCTATGATACACAGGTCAAACCTACCCATGACATCGGGAATGTGTGGGCCAACGGAGCTTATGGCACTATCTCTGAGAGATTATGGGAAGAATTGGCGCGTCATAACCAGCAGATAGTCACGATCTCAGGTCTGTACTTGCGGTTTATGTACACGTTTTCACTGACTAACAAGTGGTGACAGGTGGTGAAAAACAACGACTTGCAGTGTATGTACTTTGCCGTTACTTCCGTGTCATAGCTACTCATTTTCATTGCCTCGTCATCAGGGCTAGAACTTTTATGAGGATTAATCACACAGACATCAGACTAGTCGTAGTCGATGAAGCCACGTCGTCTTTGGACGCTATCATGGAACGCGATATTCTTTCTCAGTTTCACCATGTCCGCCAAGGAAAGACGATGATCCTTGTCACCCATCACTTCCACCATCTTGTCAAGGAGGCTGATCAGATCATGTAAGTAAAAACACCGTTCTAGCCATAGATGAAATTGATACCTCGTGGCAGATGTATGAAGGATGGATGCGTGGTCGAGTGAGGGACACATCATCAACTGATCGAAGACGATGGCGAGTATGCGAAGCTGTATAATGCGCAAGTTCTCTCGGCGTAATCCTGGATGCCTTTGCATCAGTGATTTGTGACTCTTGTGCTAATGTTTCTCGTACGCTTCTCGTTTATGTTCCCCCATCTTAATATTGTGCCCTTAATTGTGATATCTGTTGCTGTAACCTTTTCAATTCGAGTCTCAATGACTCAAGCTTATCTGAGAGGCCAAAAGGGTACACAAAACCTTCGTGCACAAAAAAGTCCTATTATCATGATAAGTATCAATCTCAGATCTTGGAATCTCAAGTCAAGACCTGGCAGCTGAGCCACATTTCTGCCTAACCAGAACCACACATTGACACCTGCCTTATCCATACGTGTGGTGTAAACAAACTGACCTTCGAGTACTCCCCGGGCCAGTTCACCGATCAGATCTTCGATGAGGAATACTTGCCAGGAAGGAGCTTTATCAATTCACAATATTACTGATGGCATATATCGGAACTTACATTCATGTGAGCGAGAACCCACTATCCTGGTGAAAAATCTAGGGTGTGTATATGGCTCAGGTAACTGGCATCATGTTGTTTGGCCCTTTTGACAGGCTCGATAATTTCTGATGTGGCAGGGTAATGGCGGAGTGTTTGCATTAATGCCATGTGGAAAGCATCCATGAACATACCATAAAATCTTATTGCGATTTTTGTAAATAATGACAAATCCAAAAAAAGAAAAACTTTGTACCGCTGGAGTGTTGACCGGTCTGGGTCACCCCGAAAGCCAAAGCCACCAAATCCTGAATTTAAGCCATTAAGTCCTGCTTCATACTTTTCTCAGGCATTGCAGATATTGCTCCCTACCCGAGCCCTCGACGTTCGGGTGTATTACACTCCTCTGAAGTATGACAATGGAGGTGTTATAGTATTCCACCACGGTGCAGGATATGCGGGTACAAGCTTTGCATGTCTCGCGAAAGAGATAAGTGAGGTCATGAGGGACAATGTCAGTGTCCTGGCCTTTGATGCCAGGAGACATAGTATGTATTCGAGGTAATGTCATCAAGGCGGTCGGGGAGGTTTAGACGAGTTAGACATGTCAATCAACGTATCTTTGGTTGTGCACTTTTTTCGCAGTGTAATCATTGCGCGCATCGACCTAAATCACAGGCAAGGTGCAGGACATAGGCAACATGAACTTTGAAGACAGTCGCATTATTGGATCAAAACTTACTCCACTCATAAGGAGACATCCCATTAGGATTCCAAAATTCAAGTAAGGTACTTCGGATAAATGTGCTGATACGAATAGAACCAAGATCTTTCGTCCAGTTTCATCTCATGCAAATGGAATGAGGCCAAATATACAGTGGTTGGGCTAGGACCAAGCGTTAGCTGGGTTTGAATGCTGGTGAGTTTGCCATTATGAAACTGGTATTAATGAAGGAATGTTAACGCGCCAATGTAAATTGAATATTACAATGTGATGGCAAAAATGAGTGAGTGAGTGAGCGAGAGTGTGTGTAAAATGAGTGAGCAGGTCGTATGGTGCAGTGAGGAAAAACAAATTGCGAGGGAAAGTGACATTAATTGCCGCTCAGCTGCCAGTTCCTTGCGAATTTAATTTGTCGTAGCATAGGTGTACTCAGTGGTGGCGAACCCAACTTGAGAGTTTGTCGTGTCAAACACCGAGTAAAAACGCTCGCTATGGAAGAACAATTCAGTATTTTATTTTCCTGGAAAAAATTGTAGCTCAATGTACAGGAAACAGTAGCCATTCATGAAATCATTACCAGAACCACTGGAACTCCCACTGCTACTGATGACCAGGTGTATACCGTCGCTGGTACCGTTAATGGTGCTGTTCAACGATCGAGGCCAGATTTGTGCATTTGGGGTGAGCTCATAAGCAACTTTGCCAATAGTGAAATACAAGGATGACAGCTTCTCGTACTGGTCGGATGAGATCTGTAACAAGCCAGTGGCCTCATCGAGGGTTCCCTGTGGCAGACTGATATTTGTCGAAGGCATCTGAATAGTGGTTTAGAAGGGTTGTCATGTCGCACAGGACACCTACCAGAGGCAATGTAAATCAGGGTGGTTCCGGTATCAACGATACCAGCTGCCTCATCTAAAATGAGTGTATCCCCATAGCTGATGGATTGATCAATGCCCCAATATCCACTCGCTGGAGCTGTCGATGTGATCGGCATGTAGCTGACGTCTCTGGTAATTCTGGAGGCGTTATAACCACCAAATGTGAGCTCGCCACTGCTATCATCGGAGGAAGCAGGTATGAAGAACACTCCGAGTACTTCTGAACTGATCGTTCCCTGCTTATACAGGTTGTCTGTCACAGTTGCAACTTTGTCTGTATTACTGACAGTGCCCTGCGTTAAATCAACTGGTCCAAGGCCAAGAAATCCATCCAGGCACTCCGTCCCTAAGGATACACGTGCGACGCCAATAGATTGGTTGTCGATGACCAAATCAGAGTTGAGTGTCACGGTGTCTGTATATTCCTCTCCAGCAACATCCCCACTACCATATGCAACCCACTGGAAGCAGTCTGACAAAATGTATGTGCCACATGGAAACAAACACTCACAAAGATACTGCATGTGTCATTGCTTGTAGTAGTCTTCTTGTAAGCTTTATCCTCAATCCAGGTATTTGAGCTTCCCGTGTCTACCAGAACTGTGTCTGTGTGAAATCGACAATGCATCAGATAAAGAAATGGCAGGTAAACGAGCAGCTTACAGTACGTTGGTGGACTCCCCACGCCAATGTCAGCGATGTATAGCATCACATTATTGGGTGCACTGATGGAAGAGCTGCCGCCAGCTTGTCGGGCTTGGATTCGAGCTCTATCTGCAGCCGTGATGTTCTTGATCCCATACGAGTTTATTCTAACAGCAAGCTTGAGAGTAGCCAGGCTTAACACTGTCCGAGGATGAGGCAAAGCGCTTGCTGACAGAGAGAAGAATGCAAGTGCCGGCAGGGCAAGAAGAAATGAAAGTGATTAGGCTAGAGGGAACCATCTTGCCGATGGCATGCCTCCTACTAGTACATCAGTGAATTGATGATTCCTTGATATTGTAGCCATGAGAACTATAGAAAGATACAATTCTGCTCCTGCTAAATAATATCATATATACTGCAAGAAATTTGGCTTGTAGATGATACATAGCCATCGATATCCGTAAATGCAGAGTAACACGATGTTACAAGTAACATCGGTCACGTGGCCCCCCTATCATTTTCCCTTCATCCTCGCCCTCACTATCTACCGGCTCGTCCTCCTTTACCGACTTTCCATTGACCGGATCCTTGGGACCGTTCCCGTCCCTCGCATCGTCCGCCTCTATGCACGTGTACGCACGTTCCTCCTTTAATTTAACCACCAATGTGGTCCCGCACCTATGACTCGGTCTGACTCATGCCACCAATGTGGCTTTCCCTTTCTGTTCCTCCTAACTGCGGATTCCTGCACGTTGTATTCTTACCGTTGGCCCATTCCAACATGTCTCGGTCTCATTCCACATTCAACCACCCTTCACTAATCTGGCTCTGTTGCCAACGCACCTATACCATTCTCATTTCCCCTTTACCCTTACCTACAGTGCGGTAGCCTTGCCCTTAACCCTCTCCACTTAGTATAAGTAGCCTGTCATCCTGTACTAGATTCCCTAACTTGAATCTACTCAATTTTCCCTGGAACATACTTCCTTCTGAACGCCCCTTTGGCTTCAGTCTCTAGTATCTTTTCTTAGTTGCTCATCGCGACTAAGTCTACCTCGATCGACCTCATCGTTCGGACAAGACTGTCCTAACCTTGAGTGACTTCACAGACATCTGTCTACGAAGTCACGTGACACATGCGTACTGTGATCGCTGCCGACTCGTCGTTGCCAGTCTCACTTGCTATACCAGATCCTTCCGGTTACGTCACGAATGTTAGCGGACGACGCCCCTCTTAGGGCTCTGCCTAACAGATCTATTTGAGTGCATAACACTCCCCACAGCTACTTTCTTTTGCTGCAGTTGTAAGACAGTACTCAAGGGGTGGTGCCTTTGAGATTGTCCCCGACTGGACCCCTGTTACCGACGACGATCCACGGATCAAACACCACCCGCGGTTCCAGAAGACCATCGACTATCGCCAACCCTCTGCGCATGTTCCAGCAATCGCAACATCAACTGCAATTTCCACTACTGTCCCAACAACGACAACCCCCATTGTCCCGCCGTTGACACCCTCAGCTCTACCATCTATGCCATCTTGCATGCAATCAGATCTCCTCTCGAAGCCGGTAGCGGAACTGAAACCATCTTTGCGGTGTCGAGCACGTAAGGATCTGCCTGTTCTCAGCCGTTTTCCAGCAGGTCCACCGGCAAGATTCCACCACCTGTATGAGATAGCCTTTACGAGAAAACCAGAGAATGCTGTCTTGCAGGTGAGCGATAGCAAGAAGAGGAAGGTGGAAGACAAAGATACAGATGAGGCCGCTGCGGTTGCCAAGGCCAAGTTGCCTTCCCCATCTGAAGAGCCTGCGAAAAAAGGAAGAAGTTAATATTGAATGTCCAAAAAAGGCCTACCGGAACCATCTTGGTGAAACCAAAGGTATGTCTGTTGATCTTTGTTGATGCATCAAAATGCTTACCGCTCCAGGCATCACTACCCGTCACCACTAACAAGGATGTTCCGCTGGTGAATGAGACGGGTTTCCAGGATGCAGAAACAACACAAATGAACCCAGAACGCTGGCAATTGCCTGCGCCCACCAACTCGCTCAAATCTGAGCCCACCCCAAGACATATCCTACAGAGCATCCAGGATCTCGGTAGGAGATTGGATCTCCTTGCTGCCAATGAGCGGGTGGATGCACTGGAGGCAAGAGTGAGTTTGGTGGCGACCAACCTACTCAAACGGTTAAATGAGTTAGAGCAACGGCTCAATGCATCCGATGCTCGTTGGGAATCCATAGCATCCCTCACATAGATATAAATTTTCATGAACACTTCATAGACTAACCAGCTACATACTGTACTATGATACTATTGTATGTTCCCTTCCTCATCCTGTTGTTGCTGGTCAGCCCAGTGCAGCATTTGTATCCGAAATTAATTCGTCGAGTCTACGTCAAATGTGTAGATATGCTGCTGTTGTCATTTCCTACTTTGTACCCGCTTTGCTTCATATTGATCTGATGTTCGGTAGTTAATCATGTTCTGGCCCAACAATTCCCAAGCTCTCGCAAGACTGAGATGCAATACATGCTTGCTTAGCTGAACCATGAATCATCACTAACTGGGTGCATCCGTCATCATTTCCGAGCCTAAATGTATACACAGTAGGCTGAATGGTGACTTTTTGGGCTCAGTCATAGCCAATGCAAGTGTCATGGACTTAAAATAACACGCTGGGCCTTTCTGTTACCCTTTCCACGATACAAATATGGACATGGTCGAAATGTATGTACCGAGTCTAGAAAAACCGGTTGAACCCTTCCAGATACTTCTGCACTGGGATGAAAACTCACTACATCGGCTGAATTGTGCACTGGATTTGCAAGCGCCTGGCCCAGAACAACTTGTTGAGCCCTTCCGGATACTTTGGACTGGGCCGATCCGCATGCTGATTGTGTATGTACTGGCCAGAAAACTGGGTCAATGGGTATTACAAGTTGGACCGATCCATATACTGAATGTATGGTGTGGGCCGGTTGGTTCAAGCCTTCCTAATACTTGTACACAGGGCCAAAACCTCTCCAGCTGGGCCGATCCACATATTGAATGCATGTTGCCAGCCAGTTGGGCCCTTCCGGATATTTGCATACTGGGCTGATCCACACATGGAATTTGTATGTGCTGGGCTGGTTAGGCCCTTCCAGATACTTCATTATTTGAACGCCAGGCCTATCCACATACTGAAGCAGTATCTACTGGGTCCAAAATAACCAGTTGGCCCATCTGCCAGCCCTTCCTGGTATTGTTATGGCAGGAATAACCTGTTGGCCTGTGTGTGCCCTCTTCCGATACTGTCGATAACCAGCTGGGCCCTTCTGCAGGCCATCACATTGTTATATCTGGAGCTGGGCCCATCTGTAAGCTCTTCCAATACTAGCTGGGCCCACCTGCCCAGTACTGTCATGGGCCCAAAAATTTTCCTGTTGGCTCTTCCAACATTAAATTTTCTCAAGACTAAGCCCATCTGTTAGCCCTTCTGATGTTGGGCCTGTGGCAATTGGCCCATTGATCCCAGGTCGAGACTTGGCCCACCCACCAGCATGAGTGCTATTCCATGCTGTGGGCCCATCCGTGCATAAGCATGCATGGGCCCACGTTGGATGGCCCAGCCTAACTGGGTCAATTATCAACCTTTAGCTGTCCGACTAAGTCAAGAAATGTTATGTTACTGAAGGGGCTCACATATGAGTGGTAACTTACTATTAAGTTTTATTCTTGTTTCAAATCAGTATGACCCCATCATATGATCATGTATCATGCATTCAAATTGCTGGTGAGCTGTATTTGAATAACGAAGCTGGTAGAGGTGCATGGAGTCTATACATCATGCCTGCCTAATATGGGTGTGGTCACACCATATAATGGAGTGCAGCTGTCCTGTCTTCCATGTGAAAACAACTGTATCCAAAGGATGGAACATTTGATCCTATGGAACAAATTTGCATAACTCCCATGTAGATATATAAACACTAAAGATTTGGATCAGCATCTTCTATCAAACTCTGAAAATGTCTGCACCATGTCCTCCCTATTCCGCATGCTCAACACTATCTATGGAATTCAAATTCGAAGTTGCTCCAAAGATCTTGAAGATGCTGGTGATGAGCCTCATTGCCCATCATGGAATACTCAAGGGAACTAGCAACATTTCAATGGTAAATAACCTATTTCAAAAAAAATAGAAGTTTGTCACTCATGCACATCCACCACAGGCTAACTGACCAATATGGGTACAAAATACACCCTTTATGATTTTGAGCTTATCATGAGGCACATAAATTTCACTACCTGTGTTGCCTCTGTGCCATGGGTGGCCATTATGTTGAGGTGACAATATTCCCATGCCCTGTAGGGATCTGCCAAAGGGAATACATTGCAGAATGTGCGAGAGGCACTTGCAGGTACATGTGTCAGTGGGGTCATTAGTGAATGAATACTTACTTCTGATTAGTAAATATTGAGACATTCTTTGAGAGATCCTATGTACCTTCAGCATATTATGGAATCAGAGGTATGTTTAATAAACTACTCACTATTCACTACTTTACCCTTCACTTTCACTTTCACTATAATATTACTATTCACTATTCACTATTCATTACTTTTCACTTTCACTATAACATTACTATTCACTATTCACTATTCACTATTTTTTACTTTTCAAGGCATATTTCTGCATCTAATGGGAAGTCATCGAAGATCTTCCAATCAGAACAGCTAGAGAGGTTGTCAACAGCTGTGAAATTCACTATTCACTATTCACTATTCACTATTCACTATTCACTACTTTTCACAATTCATTTTCATAATTCACTTTTCATATCTCACTATTCACTTCCACTATTTACTATTTACTATTTTTCACTTTTCAAGGCATATTTCTGCATCTAATAAGAAGTCATTGAAGATCTTCCAATCAGAACAGCTGAAGAGATTGTCAATGGCTGTGAAATGGAAAGGGACATCCCCAAGTTGACTGAGGTGATCACTGTTTATCTGATTGACCTCCCTGCACATAGGAAATAATAATACAGGGTCAATGTGGGGATGTGTAGAAGCTTCATGTAGGCAAATAGATTAGACAGTGGATCATCAGTTGGAGGTGCATTGATCTGACCGGCTAGAGGGCTCATTGGATCAGCAACTGAGCCTTGTCCTGTGATAGTAGGTGAGTTGTCTGCTTCATCAGCTGGCTCTATTTGGTGTTTTATCTTGTGCTTCTTCCAATGACTGGTGCTGCTGGGAAGTTGAATGGGTGGTGAGAGAGTGAGAGGACCATACAGATATGTATAATGGCTACTCAGGACACATCCTGAGTAGCAGCAAACAGAGGAAAGGCTATAAGGACAGAGTCCAAAGCAGAATAGGTCCGGAGGACCGCAGGAAAGATCCAGAGAAACTTCCAGAAACTTGGAGGATTGGAGAAGCAGAGAAGTGGAGCTCGGGCCTAGGGAATTCCTCCCTAGGCCTAAGATGGATATTCAGAAGGAAAGAACTAGTATGAGGACTTAGAGTGAGATCTAGTGCGAGGACTAGTATGATATCCAGACTGAGGTACTACAGGGCATATACAAGAGTTTATATACTAAAGGACTATCTGAAATATCAGTAATCAAGAGTCTGAGGCTATGTATGAAGTATAAGTAAAGTCTATCACAAATCAAATGCGAGTTGGAAATTAAGCATAGCCAGAAGTAAGCATAACTAAGATACCAGAGACAAGGAATACCAAATAGAGAAATAGACTGTGTTAATGTTATATGAACAGGAAATGAATTGAGGAGCTTATCGGATCTTCAGATCAGAAATGAATTTGGAATATCAGATCAGATCGGATCTAGGACCCAGAGTGCAGATGAGAAGCATAGATATGACAGAAGTAGGGATATCGGATCTGGGTGTGTGGATATGCAAAGGTACAGTCAACTGGACAGATAAAGGACATGGACAGGGGTCCAGAGGTCCTGATGAGGTATGGGAACATTGTCTGATGTAGGTCCAAAATATAGGATATGACAGCGGGTAATGAAAGGAATGCCACCCACAATATCTTCCTTGCTGATAAGTGTGAACCAAAGTGATGAGTGAGAGTAGTACTGCATGTCATGAAGGAACAATATTGACTATGACCACATTGTGTTACGGTATATTCATTCTCTTCGTTTCTCCTTTGTCACCGGACAATGGTACATGAATACGGCCCTTAACGAACGACCAATCACTTTTCAGACCCTTACTCATATCATCGCCAAGTTGACCTTCCATTCCAGTAACCATCACTATGTTTAGCTGACTATCTCTTATCAAAGCGGGCTGTCCGCACCATGGTTACTATCACCTATCTCTTATCTCTTATCACTTACCAAGCGGGCTGTCCGCCTTCTATCTTGATACGCATTTACAAGCTCCGCTTGAACTCTCGCTATATAGATACATAGCGTACCACATGTAGTTCTTCACTTTGATCTACTGGGTTTTACCTGGAACAAGTCCTTTAGCAAGGTCTCCAACCTTGCTATCTAAGAACCACTATTCTAAGGAAGTCGCCGATACTTGCCTTAGCCAGAAAACCTTTGACCTCTCATTCGAGAGAAGAACCACGTCTGTCTCGCCGAATCTCAGTCCACTCGGACTAAGACAGCTCGACATACCCCAGTCGTAACACATTGCCTTTTTATATATATTGTATATTCAGAGTGTCAGCCTTGCTGGAAAGTGAACAAAGAAATGCACAAACATGGTATATAAGGACAGCATATGAGTGCCAGGGAACAATTGAATAACCATGGAGGGAAGCTCATGCCCAGGCAGAAATACCAATATCGCTCTAAAGCAGAAGTGGGAATGGTAGAAAGCTGGCAAAAGTGACAACCTGCAATCATGGGCAAAAATGCCATTTAAATACAGTGAATAATTGATAGACTTACTATGTAAATAGTGCTGATTATAGATATGAATCTGCAAATGCAAGTGTGTCGCCCTGTAAGATAGTGCATTAGTAATTGGCAGCCTGCACAATGATGAATTCATACATGGACATCAGGAAAAAGGGTTATTGCTATATTAGCTCATATAGCGCTATATATGGATACATAGTGTCTATAGACGTCATAGGATCTAAAGCAATCCCCCCCTCTATAGAGAGGACATATAGTCACATATAGATCCATATGGCATTAATTATAGCTAGGAGTACATATAGGCATATATATTCAACTTCCAAAATTTGGAGGTACCTCAATTTTTTTCCTTTACTGCACTATATTTCTGCTATATTTGCATTCATATTCACTTTTCACATCAAAAAAAGCAAGAGCAAAGACAAATCAATTCAAACTATAGTTAATCATAGTGACAAAAATTTGGAATTAACTACTACACCTTCCCCTGCTTGGTTACCTTAGCTGCTGTCTCTAGGGCTGAGAAATCAAATATTGGAGTAGGAGTGTTGTTACGACTAGGATAGGTCTTCTCAACACCAGCACGAATATGCTATCGTGTAGAGCGTGTTGAGGGTATCATACAGGTCGACAGAATGTTGACAGGTCTCTCCGTCTATCTCGGTAAGGCTTGTAGGCCTCATCGAGAGGAAGGGCTAGCAAGAATATGGCTAAGGCGCGGGGAGTGACTTAGAAGTGCAGTCAAGGGTTCTAAGACAACTAAGTTGGAGGCTTAGTTGAACAGGATTCCAGGGATAACCTAGTAGATTGAAGTAAAGAACTAATACAATAATCTGTCTACTTATATATGTCAATATACAAGAGTTCAAGCTCAGTCTGTATCTGGTGGATCTATAGTATCAGAGATAAGAGTACATGAGGTCAACTATGAGGTGAGATAAGATACATGAGGCTTAACCTCTGATCAAGCATGAGGCAGCATGAGGTGCTCCGGATCTTCATGAGGTGGCATGAGGCAACATGCGCCAGTCTAGATGTACATGAGGCGTACAGCCTCAGATGATCAGGTACAAGGCCTTCTAGGCCAGGGGCGGTGTCACAGCGGTCCAGACCACTGTCATTCTAAGTTCTAGCGGTGTGCTGCCACTGTAGCACTCAAGCTCGAGCTAGGCTTGTATTCAGCTATTTTCCCATGCATGTCAGACAC